TTTCCTCCATGAAAAACGAGTAAAGCGGGTCAGTTGATGGGGGGCGGTGAGGGAGGGGGTAAATACCAGCAGTAGCAGTATCGTTAGCACAAGCATAAAGACTGTGTAAAAAAAAAAAAAGTGGGAAAAAAAAATGACAGCAGGAAGAATTAGCAGGACGCTGCAGAGGAGAGTCATAGACGCACGGTGCTCTGATGTCTGATAGTCATAACAGCTAACCGTAAAACAAAACAGCTGTCTGTTATACCCCCCAGGCCTCGTTGTCCTCAGTAGCGTCCTCAATCCGAACCCCCCTCCCAATCCACTTCATGACTGTTTTTCAGTCGCCCACCGAGATTTCGCTCCTGCGTCAGGAATCGAATGAATCGATATCAACATCAATCACTGCCTGCCAGCCAGTTACCCATAATGCAATTCGTCGTCTCTGATATGATGGCCGCCCAAAAGATTACACAGAGGAAACGACTGGGGAAAAAACTAACTAGAGTGAAGCCGACGACAGCTGTTTTACCAGTCCTGTTCCTTTTCTGTCCATTAAAAAGAAGCTTCTAAAGTTCCACTTAATTACAAGTCTAGCCTAGAGGGGAATCCACTAGACTGGGCCAGAGGCTCTAATTATTTGCTTTTTTGCCTCTGGTCTTAAATATCAAACATCTCTTTGTAGTGGAGGGTCCTCCAACCTCTCTCAGACTCAGCCAATTTTCTGACTTACAGAACTTAAAGAAAGACAGTTGAACAATTACCTGGCTCTTCCGAGCAGAAAAACAGCCCCTGATGCATTGAGAAACTTCAGTTTATTGGCTGTAAGATCTTTTGCTAACACCTTACTTGCGGAGGTACAAGTAACTTAGTAACTCAGTTACTACTCAAGTACAAATCATGAACAAACATAGTAACTGCATGAAGCATGATTGATTAAAGATGATCGAACAGGAGATCAGTATGTAACTAACACTTAGTTTCTGGTTATTTAATGCATTACGTAAGAGTACTCCCTCAGGTAAAGAGGTACCAGATCTATTGTTTACAAACATAGATATACATGCATAGGAGCTTGAAAAAGATCAGTTTAGTAATGGCGGCGAAAAACATGCGAATGAATCAAACTCTGGGTGCAAATTACTGTCAGCCTCACTGTCACCTGCCGAGAAAAACGATTAGGCACAGAGAAATAAATGCTCCCAAAAGTAGCTGCGGGAAAATGTATTGATTTGCCTTTGAAACTTAACAAAGTGAGCGTTCTGTACTGGGAAAATCCTTTCTCTAGGTAACGTGGTCCTGAAAGTATCAGGCTGGAACAAGCAAGCTTCGGTGAAGATTTTTCCCAGATAGACGCTCGTCTCTTTCTGCTTGGAACCCATCTGGATTCCCATGGAATTTGTTTTGCTAAAGCTGCTTTGATTATCAGTGTCAGTCATCTATTCTAGGACTATCTATTGTGCCTCTTGCACTTGCTATAAATACAGAACGTCTTTGGGAGGAAGAGACAGACAAAGCAAATCATTTTCAGTCAGATATCTCTCCTCGTGTACATACGGGCTCCCGTCAAACAACGTCTTACATTAGCGCTGACGGGGATCTCGGAGCTATTGTTCTGTACCAGTTGACTATACTGGCTGATAACCTCAGCATACATCAAAGACACCGGCCCCCCAGTGGGGGAAATGGATCCAACATTCGGTTAAAGGACCCTGTGTGGGGGATGGAGCGGTGGATGCCCACTACTCAGAGGGCAAGGTTGTAGCAGGAGCTGACTTACCGCTGTCCGAGACAGAGAAATGGAATATGTCAGATGTGGCATTCTTGTGGTCACTCAAAACATAGCAGATCTTCAGGTCGTCCAGGTCAGCTGAGAGATGGAAAAACATCGACACGGATGAGACTTCACACAGGGGCGGAATTGTAACCTTGCTGATTTATAAATTATAAATAATCGAGTACTGTAAACTGTGGCACACTTTGCCTCCACATGTTCTCTGCCTTCACACGCTCTGTGCCTCCACATGTTCTCTGCCTTCACATGCTCACTGCCTTCACACATATTCTGCATTCACATGGTCTCTGCCTTCACACGCTCTGTGCCTCCACATGTTCTCTGCCTTCACATGCTCACTGCCTTCACACATACTCTGCATTCACATGGTCTCTGCCTTCACATATTCTCTGCCTCCAAATGCTCTCTGCCTCCACATGTTGTCTACCTCTCTGTGCCTCCACATGCTCTGTGCCTCCACATATTCTCTGCCTTCACATGCTCACTGCCTTCACACATACTCTGCATTCACATGGTCTCTGCCTTCACATGTTCTCTACCTTCACACGCTCTGTGCCTCCACATATTCTCTGACTTCAAACGCGCTGTGCCTCCACATGTTCTCTACCTTCACACACTCTGTGCCTCCACATATTGTCTGCCTTCACATGCTCACAGCCTTCACACATACTCTGCATTCACATCGTCTCTGCCTTCACATAATCTCTGCCTCCACATGTGCTCTACCTTCACATGCTCACTGCCTTCACATGCTCACTGCCTTCACATGCTCTCTGCCTTCACATGTTCTGTGCCTTCACATGCCTCCTTACTCCCTTTCATAGATATATTTAACCAAATGAGGGCAGTAATACACCGGATCACAGTGACACGTCTGTCACGTTTCCTGCAGGTGTTCACGTGTTTCTTTTTTGTCTGATTAAAGACATCTGGGTGTTTTTTTGCAGAATCGCCAAGCACACGGACTGATAGTGAGATGAGGTGATGTATGAAGCAGTGAGACGTGATAAATATACCAGCAGAGTGGGAAAACCATGCCAGTTAAAACCTCACGGCAGGAGACACCATGTTGATAAGCAGGACTCTGGGGTTTGACAACCTCCCTCAGCTCAGGGACTGACAGAAAAAAAAGTCACATTCTTCCAGATTTTGGCAATTCTACCAGCACAGAAATGTCCAAATCCTCCCTCAGCTGCCTCTTTCTATGGACAGAGTCAGAAACATAATATTGCAAATGTTAAATTTTCCCCACCTTCCCACTCTCTCTGTTGACCCAGGTACTCCCCCCCCCTCCCTGAAATCTCTAGCAGGCGCCCAGCTAGAGATGGGAGGCAGCGAGGCAACAAATGCATTCTGTAAATATAACGAGTCAACAGTCTCCCCCACTGGTCGGCAGCCGCAGTGGAAAAGCACAGCGCGCCAAGAATCTCTCTCCTCTTTCTGCTCCCCAAAACAAGCTGCTGACTCTCAGCCAGACTGTCAGTCAAAGCACAGCTGATGTGTGTCGGACACCCCCCCACTCCCCCAACTAGAGCATTTTCCTTTAATCTTACTTCATTTCCAGGAGCCCAGGACCAGCATTCACAGTCAACTTCACTCACACTTCCCAAACACCTCAGGGTGTTGAATCGGACAGACGGTGTATAGGACACACAGCCAGGGCAGTGGCAATTAAATCTCATTCCCTTCCTGCACCTCAGACTTTGTTTTTGTAAACTTTTCTGCCCTCCGCTTCTCCACCATCCCTCACCCTCCACTGCATTCTAAACCTTCATTACTCTAGGTGACTTTCCGTGCCATAATCACATAGGAATTATCCGGACACAGCCATTATTAAACAGCACAGTTTTAAACCGAGTTCAGAACACACTTATTAGAACAAGCACTAGGAAAGTTACAGCGGAGTGTCATCCTGTCTCTTAAAAACTATGTTGCCATAATTGATGGCTGAAACTGCATAGAGGTAATCAGGGCAGAGGTATGAACCTGTAATCTCCTTAATAGCTGTGAACCGCAGATGGAAGAGACTGTATAACCAGCCACCGTTCAGCATATTTTGCAAACACTCTTCCGGGTCTTCCCTAAAGCTGGCCTAGGAGTAGGTGCTTATTAACTGAGAGAAACAGGTGAACCTTGACCGCAGCTTCTGCTGTCTCCGTTTGGCACTGATACTTATTTAGCAGCTGCTTCTCTGGGAAAGATTAAAGCGCTGCAGCCTGACTCCCTAATCCACGGTTTAGTCGCCCAGGAAAGCAGGCGGATGAGCAGCTAAGGAGCCAAACTGGTTCATCAAAAGGGGAAAAATCTCGGCAGGTTACGAGCAGCTGACCCACTGAACTACCTACCCACTTATCCCGGCTTGCTTTGATTAAACGTCAAACTTCACAAGGCTGTAAACAAAGCTGTTAGCATGAAATAACATAAAAATTAATTGAAACCTCTTTCACTCACCAAGCAAATAAATATGAGAATAATGTGCTTCAAGAAATAAAGTGGAGCAACTCCCTGAAGAATATAATACTAATTATGAGGCTGTGTATTAAACTGAAGAGTATTCTTAATAAGGAATGAAGTAATGATTTTATACTAAGTGACCTGTGGATCAAAACAACTTATGGAGGGCTTTATGTTACCTTGGGTGAATGAGGTGATGGTGGCATTGCCTTTTGCCAGGTTCAGAAGGTGGCCATGCTCAGGACCAGCAGTGATGTGGAAAATCAGGGAGTGTCGGACACTGTCTCTGTCTTCAGCTTTCAGGATTTTACTGGTGATCATAAACCCCAGCCGTCCTACTGACAGGACCTTCAGCGTGGAAGCGCCCTTGTTGACAACGATCTGCGGCACCCCGTTGTCAATGGACAGAATGGTGATCTTCATCATCTGTGGCTTCCGGGTCTCAAACACAGTGTCGGGGAATACGTAGAAGTCGGAGTGCGTCCCATCGGTGACGGTGAACGAGAAGCTGTCCGCCGGTGATTCGGTGCCATCGTGCCGGTAGCTGATCATATTCTCCTCAAGGTCATGTTTGGTGAACGAGGTTACGGGGTGGGTGTTATTGAAGAGCAGCCTGCCGTGTACGGGCACTTGCGTGACTGTGAACCTCAGCAGGCGGTCTGCCGTGTCCTGGTCCTCCACAGTCAACTCGAAGGGCGTGATCAGTTTGCTCTCACCTTCCATTACCGTCAGACGGTGCACCGTGAGGACAGGTTTCTTGTTGTCTACATCCACGATGGACACGCGGAACGTGCGGAACACAGGATTGTAGCCGTCCGTGACCTCAAACTCGAAGCTGTCCATCTTGACCTCATCGTCTGATGTATGGATGTAGTAGATCTTGCTCCCTGCAAGCTGGAGCTGTGTGAAGGACACAATGGGCATGCCAGGAGTATCTGTGCACTCCAGATGCCCACGTACAGGTGCCCGGGTGATAGTAAAAACCAGGTTTTCATCTGGACTGTTCAGATCACTGGTGCTCAGGAGGTCTGTAGTGAAGGTCACCATGCCACCCTCTTTGAGAGACACGCCTTTACTCACCACATCAGGAAACACCATATCAATACTGCCAATGGTGATGTAAAAGTATCTGTCTATGAGACTGTTGAAGCCATCCGTGACGTCAAACTTGATGAGGTCACGGATGCCCTCCTGTCCATTGTGAATGTACACGATGAGATCAAGGTCGACTTGTCTCTGTGTGAAGTTCATGCCAACTGTAATATTCTCCAGTAACCCAGAAGGAGTTTTCCTTTGCAGGAACCCCTGTCCTGGTCCAAGACGAATGATGTATGTCAGACTGCTGTCATCTGAGTCGAGATCTGTGGCCTTCAACACTTTCTGGTTGATTATTTTAGTTTCCCCAATCTCTACTTCCAGGCCATCATTGATAGACATCCTGGGTGTTTCATCATCCACTGGGATTATCATGACAATGACCGTTTTCTCTTCTGTGAACTTACCATCTGTGAGGCGGATATCAAAGCTATCCTCAGTAGTCTCTGAATCATCATGCTCATATACAATAGTTGAACCCTCTGTGATTTGGTCAAGGGTAAAATTAGTGACTGGGACTGAGCTGGTGGTTAACTGGTTGAGAATGTAGCCATGCTTGGGTGGTCTGGTGACGATGAATGTTAATTTATCGCGCGGAAAATCACCATCAGCACCATTAAGGATGGGGGTGTCAATAACAATATTCATGCCTTCCATCACAACGAACTCTCTAGTGAAAATTTCAGGCATTTCATCATTGGCGGGAATGATGACAATGGGGAAAAAATGGCGCTCTGAATAGTTTATGCCATCTGAACAGCTGAATGTGAATCTGTCCTCAACTGGCTCCATACCCCTATGAATGCTCTGAACATAATAAATGTGACCTTGTCTGATGTCCTTAATGGTAAAAGCACTGATGGCTGTACCAGTTCTTGACTTCTCTGAGCCAGGAGCAGGTGAGATGTTCTCCAAGTATCCAGAGGTGGGCTGGACAATGATTGTGCAGAGAATGTCACCGATGAGCGTGTCAGCATCTTTGGCACTTATCTGATGTCCTTCTATGACATTCTTTTCTCCTTCCACCACACTGAATAAAGGCCCCACTGTGACCTCAGGGGAACGGTTGTCCACTGGGAGGATGGTGACCTCAACACGGACCCCATTCACTCTATTGCCCCCTACCGTCCATTCATCTGACATGTCAGTTAGCGTTAGGTTGAAGTAGTCATTCTTTGTGGTCAGGCCAATCTCCCCACTCGTATGAGCATACACTACATGTCCATTGATTATGTCAGCCTGGGTAAACTGCGTAGAAGGAACCCCACTGACAAAAATCTGCCCAAAAATAGGGGCATCTTCCACAATAAATGTCAGCCTGAGATCATCTGTGTCTTCATCTTTCCCTTGGATGACATTAGTTGTAATCTCTGTGGCACTGTTCTCCAGAACGTCCATGTGGGAGCCAATGGTGCCCGCGGGCAGGCTAATTATTGGTGTCTCATCGTCGACAGGCTTCACTGCCACCTTCACCGTGATCGTGACAATGTGGATGCCATCACTGACATCCAGTTGGAACAAATCCCTTGTGGATTCATCCCCATTGTGGACATAGGAGATCCTGCCATTAGAAATGTCCTCCAGTTTAAAGGAGTCACCTTTGGTCAAGTCTGTCAATATGTATTTGACCTCACCATGGAGTGGAGGTTGGATAAGTGTAAATGTTATCTGGTTGCCATCTGTGTCGGCGTCTTTAGTGTCCAGTTCAGCATGTGTCAGGATGTGCATGCCCCGCTCAAAGACAGTGAAGCCAGTGTTGGTAATCTGAGGGGGCTTGTTGTCAACAGGCTGCAAGAATATAGTGAATGTTCCAACAACAGTGTTACCTGCAGTGTCTTCAACAGTATAATGGAACTGCAAGATGTGTGGAGTGATCCCCAGCTCGAGGTCGGGGGGTTTGTAGGCAATTTTGTGATGATTAATTTGTGCCTGCGTGAATTCAGTCACTTCAGTGTCAGGATTCTCTGTCAGAACAATGGATCCTAGAACAACTCGGTTATTCTCATCCATGTCTGTGGGTGGCTGGATGATCATGTATTTCAGATCCCGGTCCTCTGAGTCGAGGTCGGTGTAGCGCAGAACCTTTTTAGTAAAATGAGTCAGCTGGTACTCATGCACTGTCATTTGCAGAACAGTGCCAGGGTACAGCTCAGGTGGGACATCGTCAATGGGAAGGACCTTGATGACAAATGTGCTCTCCTCAGACTGGTTGGGCGGGTCGTTGTCATCCTGAACATGGAACTTGAACTGATCCATCACAATGTCAGTGTTGTGGGGCCCCACGTGTCTGTAAAACACCTTTCCATCAGTAAGGTCTTGCTGCAGCCATTCCGTCACCACTTTTTCATAAAGTTCATCAGCTGCGTTAAACTTCCACGAGGATGGGTCTTCTGGAGCCTCAGCCTGCCGCAGTAACACTTCTCCAATGGCAGAGAAGGGCGGTTTAATGGTGAACTTTATAGTTGAATCCTCAGAGTCGATGTCTGCCGCACTTAGCATCAGTGCTGACATAGGCATCATCTGGTTCTTGAACAGCACCAGGCCTGTGTTAGCGTTGACAATTGGAGGTTCGTCATCAGTCGGCACGACGGTGATCGGAAAGAGAAACTCCACCTCGTGTTTGCCGTCTGTCATTCTGAAAATGATGTTGTCGCTGTACGTGTCACTGCCATCGTGTTGATAAACGACAACGCTGTTGTCGAGGTCGGCTGGCGTGAAGAACATCGCACTGGAGCCCAAAACAGTCAGCTGTCCGTGCCGCAGCCCATCAATGACATTGATTCTGACATCGTCCAGGTTGTCCTCATCACTGATTTCCAGGTTGCCATCACTGAACAGTGGCCTAGACTGGCCTTCATACAAAAGCTGGCCAGTGTTCCTGGTCACCACTGGAGCTAGAGTGTTCATGGGCTTAACTACAATCATGAAGGCAAATGGGTCAGAAACGGCTCCCTCTGCGTCCACCACCTCAAATTCAATCTGGAAAATTCTCTCGGTGTCAGAATCTATTGAGGGTGGCTTGTATGCTATTTTTAGATCCTTAACGTCCCCTTGATAGAAAGATGTGATTGGTAAATTCCGATCATCTGTACTGACGATGCAACCCTCCTCCAAGGACAATGGAGAGGTGATATTGAAAATCAGGCTGTCTGGATCTGATTCTGTGTCTTCTGCAGCCAACATGTCCAGTGTTATTGCGGTCATAACAAATTGGTCCACCTCCATCATCATCATTGCAACAAAGCTGGGCTTAGGTGGAGTGTTTTCTTCTCCCTCACGTATGCGCACCAGGATCTGGAAAAACTCCTGTTTGATAAGATTTCCCTCCTTGTCTTGTAATTCGACCATCATTGGAATATAATCTCTGTTAGGGGATTTTTGCTCGGATGTGTGACGATAGCGTACATCTGACTTAAGTAATTCATCACAGTCCATCATTTTCCCCAGTTTGCCCCCATCAACAAGTTTCCCATAACTGGGCAATATACTGGTACTGGATAAAGACGACACTTTGCACTGCTGTGAGTTTCTATCAAAAGTAAACTCCAAAATTTTTCGGTCAATGGGGTTACTGACACCGAACAGTTTTTCTACAGTAAGCGGCATGTTTCTGGTTAACACTTCCAGCTGGGTGAAAACAACCTCTACTTCCATCATGAATGGTATAATAATGGTATCGGTCTGCGTGTCATACCTGAGCTGGACCCGGACTCTGTCTTTCGAAGGGCTCCTGGAGCCGAAGTGCGTGTACTTCACGTCATTGGGACCGAATTCGCACGAAAACTTTTTCGGAGACAAGTGTCCGGGTCTTTGTGACAGTGGGTCGTTATCCAGGACAGTTATGCTGCATCTGTCTCCCGGCTGGACTTGAGTGACTAAATCGTTGATAGGGTCAATGAAAGCGGACCTCCCGAAAGGCACGCGTATCCCGTTGTTGGCAACCAGTATGGTATCCTCGGAAAGTTCAGATCGGAGCGCATATGACAGGCCGGTAGCGCCGATGCGCTGTGCGTTTGCGCTGCCTGTCACGGCCACTGAGAGCAAGAGCAGCCCGTAAATGAGCGACGGGGGCGTGCGAGCAGTCCTGCCCCTACTCAGAGCCAGGGTTCTAGCCATCTGGAGCCAGGCGTTACTGCGTGTTTCCCAGTTCGCCGTGCTTAACAATAATCCAGACAGGGAGGAGGAGGAGGAGGACAAGTTAAAGGAATATGCCCTGGGAGTTGAAGCAAGACGCGCACACCTCCCCGCCGACACGCAGCATTCTCCCGGCGCTGCCGAGCTTTCGGCGTTATAAACTCCAGGCACTTGGGAACCTGTGGTGGCGGTGACCACGCCCTTCGTCACTGCCGATTGGCCTGATTTTACAACGGAATGCGTTTATTCCGTTCTAATTGGCTGCTGTGCATGTCAATCTAATGTTGGAGGCGGGAATAGTGCCGACGGTGGGTTTCAGGCAAGTTAGGAATGCTTAACTTTTTGATGAGGGTGATAATGAAACACGACTAAACAAATAGCTCTATTACACTCAGCATTAAACTATATGCATAATAAACAATAATTTATAGTATCGGTGTAATCCGGAAAATTATATATTTTCGCATTTATCTTTTAAAATTGACTGGACCGTGTTTAACTTTCTAGATACAAAAACGGCATATAAATGAAATGACACGAAATAAATTTAGATCACAGATATTCGGGTTACTTGCTTTGAATTTTTTTCGTAGAGGTTAAACATTAATATGCATTGACAGTAGTAAAATACCGAATAATTCACAGGGGCCGACGTTCCTTGAGCAATCCATGAGCGAGTATTTTAAATTAAGTTTAGTTTCTGATCTGGGTACCCGCCTCAAATAAATGATAGATAACAAGTGCAGTTGTATGACGGAGCACATGATTGTACAGATACGGCTCCCTCTAGCGATAAGATGTATTAAAACCTCTATTCCAGCTTTCTTCATTGCACTGCAGTTAATTAAGATGTACACAGGTTCCACTAAGTTGTTATCGATACTTAAACAATTACATTACCATGCGTTACACAAGCGTTTAAATGTAATTAACACATACATCAGCTGTGACATTTAACCAGGGTTTTGCCCTAGAGTGGTATAAGATCTTTTTTTTTTTTTTTTTTTTTTTTACTTACTTATACGCCATAGTAAAAACGCGCCTACTCCGTGGTGGGTAAAGAAGAATCCAGATTATACAACAATGTACAAATTTGTTTTGTTTGTTCGTTTATTTAAGTGAAATGCACTGTGTCAAGCAACATGCTTTATAACTGTCTGCCGCATCTCTACGAGCGCAGTCCGCATTAGGGGAAGCGAATCATTAGCGGCCGACGGGACGCCGAAACGCGCTCCGCCGGAACGTGACAGGAGCGACACCGCAAAGTCCCGCGATGGATGATGTCTGTTTCCTGTTACTCTCGACTGCATAAAACTCGTTAACGAGGGATTGTTGACGATGCATATTGTGCTGTGAAATTGTTAATGAACTTGAGGTGCAGAATGCAAAATTTAAGGGAAACGCAGGTGGGTACAACAGAACCATATATACCTGTGTTTCCAGAGCCCTCGAGCAAAAATACCTCAACACTCAAACCCTGACCTCCGGCTTGGTTTATTCAGCACCATGCTCAAAAACCACGTCCGTACCTACCATTGAGGACACCGAGGTCAAGTCCTCAGTATTTTATCTGCAACTCCAATAACTACATTCCATTACGGGGCATAACTAGGAAGGGCTAACACCTTTGACCTCGGTATTTAAAAATCCTGGCTACAGCCCTGTTGCAAACATCAGGTTGAATATACACATGTAGATTTAAATGGTCTGCCCGAAATGCCACATAATTAGTAGCAGAAAATTTCAGAACATGATACTTATATAGTACTTGCAATTGTTTATCTGACGCCAAGTTAATAAGGAAAGATTTTAATTTCCATCAATTTAAGGAATTTAATTTCCATCAGTTTCTTTTTAACCAAGAAACAGCACAGAATGGTACATACTATCGGGCAAATCCTACCACCATCTTCTCATGTGATTTTTTTTTCTTTGTTGTCGTTCAAGCACAATTACATTTGCAAAGCTTTTAACAAAAGTATAAGTGACAGCTGCACGTTCCGTGGTATGACTCCCCCTAATCCACAATGCTGCCTGTCCATAGTGCAGTTTGCTCTGCTGTCTTCAGTGTGGGTGATGAGCATTTTTTCTGGAAAATACAAAGAGATTATAAATAAATGCACCGAATGCACTAGTTTTAAGCTGGAAGTAACCCAAGTGCTTATAAATGGGCAGTGAAAACCGTCTCTCACACAGTGAAAGTACACATCTCAACATTTCAACCCTCTCTAAGTCAATAATAAAGCATGCCAAGCGAAAGAAGTCCGGTGAGGCATTGTAAAAAGAATATGTGATAAAAAACAAGGCCACTACCAAAATAAGCCGATAAAGGAGATTTGGACAGGGATACTATATCAAAACCTCAATATTAAACAAAAATGTACGATTAACCTCTACAGTTAGGTCCCTACATTTGAAGTCTGTGTTTAAGTAATAGCTCAGCTTGCACTTTTGTCAGAAATATTGAAATTACCACTTCTGAAAAGAACGCAAACAGACAAAAAGAATCAGTGACAGCCTTAGGGATGGGTGTCCATTATTGGGAAGTATGAGGCATATCCTCTATGTGGTTACCTAATCCTGCTTGTCAAGAGTAATGTGGGGCTGCATGGAGAGTAAACTATGCTTAGAGTTTATTGGGTGTCTTGGACATTGACGCCAGACAGCCACTGGTTTTATGTGAGAGGTAATGCTGCAGAGAATGTAAAGGCAGTCAATAACATAAGGCATTGGCAGACAGATACTACAGGGCACTGGTAGTGTTGCGCATCTGCTTTAGTATATGACTGTAGGCCAGGCAGCTTGTGCTTTTACCCACCGTCAGCTTGGGGTGGGTGTAGCTCTTGGGGTGATACAGGGATCTGCGGTCCCTCTTACTGTCAGCGCAGCTCACAGGGTCTTTGTGCCAAGTACCACGGAACAGAGTTTCTGACAGATCTACCGTGGCGATCAGGCGCAGAGCCTGGCAGAGTGGCACCTTTGGTCTGATCTGCCGCCTGTGATGACTTGTGGCTGTGGCGAAGCCATGGTACATACAAGACAATATACCAGGGATGGATTGGGTTCATGTTGCCAGGTGAACGGCATTCGGGCGAAATGTAAATTGCATGCCTCCGTGTATCGACAAAACCTTTCATCTGGTTTAAGTGCGCTGTCAGCCGTGGCTCGATGTCTATGTTTTAGCGTCTCCCTTCCAAAGGTGCCAACTGCTCCAATTACAGGGATGTTTTATGCCTGTTATTTCATCAGCAGATACAGCTGTCAGACCGTCCACTAAACCTAGCGGGGTGCTTTCATTCCAGCAACACGCCCAGTCCTGAAACCAGTCGTCTGACAGCTGGGGGTCATCTGCACATGGAAGGGCAGGGGAAAAAACAATCAGGAGGTTGGAGGGTCAGAGAGGGGGGGGGACATGACTTTGCTTGTGTGTGAAAGAGACATGGCTTCTCCTGAGGAAAAAACATTGTATGTACTTATAAAGAAATTCATACTGCGACAAATGCATTTGGGCATATTCAAAATTGGGCAATTTATCCTAGAATGTAAATAGCCAGCATTAATGGATTAGTGAATTCATAAAATTAATGTATGTGCATTCAAAAAATGTATTGTGGATGTAGTGGTGGGCGAAGCATTGTGTTCAGACGTGCTTAGACCAAAGAAATAGAGGTACCTACATTTACATACCCATATTATGGCGTTGTTAAATATTCATACACTTGTGACATTAATTAACATCTATTTTACTGGCAGCCATGCATTTTCACTATTGTTGACCATTGTGCTTTTTATATATATGTGACTTTTTCTTCTTGGCTGGCTTGGTTGCTGGTTTATTGTGGACAAAAGCGGAAACAGACTGTGTGGGCGGGGGTTGACGGACAAGTCTGGGCTCTGCTCGGTGTGTGGGAGCAGCAGTGAGACAGAAAGAGAGAAAAGAAGGGAGAGAAAAAAATAAGAACAGATTTCACCAAAGGAATGATCGTACCCCTTCATTATTGAAAGAATCCGCAAAGTTCTCGTTTCCCCTGCTGGTGGAAGCCTGGGTTTTTCCAATAAAGAGATTTTTAATGCTGTCTGAGGATGAATACACTGAAACTAATTGGCTTGACCCACAAGAAATGTATCCTTTTCTAAACTTATACAAACTTAAAAAAGTTTCCAGTCCTGTGAATATGGAAAAGTGACCGGCCTCCTAATAGAATAGAATAATGGTGATTTATTTAGCCCCGTGGGGATATTGGGGAGCTTCCGCACATCCCATCTTGCTGTCCATGAGAGACACAGACACATTCATGTCGTCAAATGAAAATCACATATGTCCACTTTTTGACAATTATAACTTTTTACTATCGATGGAATTCGCCCATTGTCTGTCTATTGACAATGTTTGACATCTATTTAACCAATGAAAACATGTTTAGTAATATCATCTATTTAACTAGTACTAGATGTTTGTAATGGTTAACATTTCTATTCACGGTCCATGGCTTACTTCATATGACTAACTTTAACAACTTAACTTTGATAGTTAGATAGCTAGCTAACTAACATCATTGTTAATTGTGAATGTAAAGAGCGATTAGTTTGTATCTTGCTGACACTGACATACTTGCCTCACTAACAACAATCTACTTAAATCCCTTTAAAACATGAAACCGTTCACTGACGTCTGTGTAAAGATTGGTTTCTATCTGTGGTGCAAAGGCTGCTTATTACGTTGTTTTAGTATTATTTTGTAAAGCAGTTTTTGAGAAAATGCATTTTATTATTTCACACTCCTAAAATAATGGACAGAGATACATGGTTTTCTTTGGACGGCGATGATATGCACGTGAGATGGGATTTAAGAGCAGGGTCAATCCGGAACTCTGGAGTAGTTGAATGGAAAGAGACATGATTACTATACGGGCTACAGGATAAAACACACAACCTCCTGGCCACTGGCACAGATTTGTAACCTGCTGAGTTACACACTGAGTTCCCCTGTGAACAGCACAGATAATGATACCAGTTCTCTTCAAAGGACCTGACCCGAACAAACAGCTGGTTACGCATCAGACTCAGGTGTGTTGCTGTGGGATTGACTGGAAACCTTGAAGCTGGATGTGGCCGTGAATCCAGCCTGC